TGATGCAGGTTTCTTCTATAATGGTTCTAAAATAATTTGTTTCTATTGTAATGGTTCATTCGATAATTGGGAATTAAATAATCATCCAATTGCTGAACATGTACGATGGTTTTCACATTGTAATTATGCTAGACAATTATGTGGTGAAGAATTATATCATAAAATTCAACGTGCAACAGAACATATGTCAGGTTTGTAAAGTCTATTGTAACTAACAGTTATTAATAAAAGAAATATATTTTCATTAATGAGTCATTATTTTGATTTATCTAGAAAATGTTAAAACTAGTGAATTTAAAAATGATCATCATCGATTGAGTATGCTGGATGATACAACACTCTTAAGACTCACTGCTGATTGTCTTGATTTACCTATTTCGAAACAATTAATAGAAGTAAATAAATTCGAACGATCAATCGTTGAACGTTGTTGGAGAAATCAACTTCGACATAGATGTAAAAAAGAAATAATAGAACAATTTTTTTCTTTTCTTATAAATGTATATGCAATTATTTAGACGATGATTTGATCGATGCCTGTGATTTATTGATTGGATGTGAAATTATCAAAAAACAGATTGAGCATATCGAGATCGAGAAGAAAGAAATTGTTATTCCAAGTATTGTATTGAAAGATATTTATGAGAACAAACAACGATCTTTCAATGATAAACATTCATCATTGTCTTACTTATTGAATAATACATCCCAATCATATGCTGGTAAGAATGATTTTTCTCTTTCAATAAAAAGAAAAAAAATTTACACTTTAATTGAAATATAGATATATTAAAATCGTTTGATGATGACCTTCAAAATTACAAAATAAGTCGACAAAGTATGTTTTAAATTAAAATTAAATAGAAGATTTTTATTTATATTTTCTTTCAAAACATAGACTTAGGTGATCAATTTACTGAACAACTAAATGTAACTATTGAACGAGAACGATCACTAAAAAATTGGTCATGCATTAAACCATCACCAGATGATATGACTAAAGGAGGTTGGATAATATATGCAGAAGAAGATTATTCAATGTGTCCTCATTGTCATATATGTTATTACGATTGGAAACCAAATGATAATCCTTTAGTTATTCACAAATATCTTTCACCATTGTGTTTATTTGTTCTTGCACTCAATCCATTTCATTCCAATTCAATACCCATAAGAACAATTAGAGAAAATTTCACAGATGAAGATATTATAAATGCCGAATCACAACCATATGATGGTCTTGTTCAATCGAAACATGAATCTTTTTTCATGGTGTCTCAAAGACAACTTTCATTTGAAAATTTTCCTGGCGGATGTCCAATCAATGCTCAGGAACTAGCAAAATCTGGCTGGTATTATCCAAATCATAGTATATTTATCAAGTGTTTCTATTGTAAACATAGCATACCTGCTGTCCATCGCCGTAAACGATCTCATCCATATCTCACAGATCTACATTCTTTTTTACCCTGTCGTTATGCTCGACAATTGAATGATATTGACCCACAATTACCGATCAGACAAGGTAAAATATCAAATCTACATACAAAAAATATAACTGTTTATATGTAATATTTTTTATATAGTGTCTCATAAATGTATATGGTGTAGAGTTGAAGAAAAAAAACTTATGGCTTTACCATGTCGCCATTTTTGTTTATGTGAGTCATGTGGTCGAATTAAACGCTTATGTCCAGTCTGCCAAACAAATGTAATTGCATATGCTATTGTCTATTCAGCTTAATACTATAGCTAATGGATTCAATATAATACAATTTATTGCTCGAAATTCAATTAATCAAGTGAAAAACTTTCATCGATGATGAAAAATATATAGTGATGTTCTCTTGTGCTGGTTACATGTAGAACAATAAGTCACTTGATAAATATTTTTACTATATAATCCAGATATAATCAAAACATAATAATATTAGTTATACCTGAAGAACATAATTACTATATATTATGTATCATTTAGTGTTATGAGATATTTTTCTTAGTTTTTATTCAATAAAGAAAAGGGCAGGGAGGGAGGCAAAAAAAAAACATCAATACACAATCAAATTTAGAGAGCTAATGGAATATAAAATATACAAATATATTGAGTAATTATGTACAACATAAACAAATGTTCAACATGACTCATAATATATACAACTTTATATGGACAAAAATTTTTTAAAAAACTTGACAAAAGAATAATTTTCTATGTGAAATATTGAACACAATTTAAATACTTTTGTCAATATGAAATTATTTGAATTATTAATATCAATTAAAATGACTTCAAAGAATAATTTTTGAACTTATCATGAAAATACTTTTTGTATAAAAGTTCATTGAAACTAAGTTCGAAAACGCGTATTAGGTAAACAGAACATTGCTTTTATTCATCGGTGCTCAACTTTATAATAATATGAAGCCCATCAACTACTATATAAATACTACAAATCTCATCAAAATTTTAAATGAAAAGTGTGTGTTCAAAGATACCAAGTAATAAATGTGTGTAATGTATATTTTTAGTCATAAATTCGTAACAACCCTTTAATGTTTGATCCACATGTTGGACACGACTTTAAACCATGTCCACATGGTACACAAACAGCGAAATGACCACATGGTACAAATGCAAGTGCTCGACGATTTTTTGAACAAACAATACATAGATTAGTAACAAAATTTGTAGATATTTGCTCAGGTGGACAGCTAGGAGACGATTGAGACAATGATGTGTTCTCATCATCAGACTTGTACGACTCTGTCTTAGAATGTTTATCCACGAGTAATCCATTTTTGGATTTATTATCATTATCCAATGATGTCATACTTATGTAGTTGCAAAATATTATCAAAGTCTGTAACTAGAACACAATTAAAAAGAAATTACTGGATCAAGTGCTAAAATTAACAAAGAAAAGGCAAAACTATATGCATTGTTAATATCAAGAAATTGTTCGTAATTAGATTTATTATCATTTATTATAGAATAATTTAGCTGTTATCGACCTTCGAACTCATTTCATTGGAGTTATTTCAAACTTAGGTCAAGAAGAAAGCTATTTCTACATAAAATTTGAAAAACTAATGTCTTGAACAAGAACTAATAAGAGATAGAAATCAATTTTATTTAGATATTGATAATCTTCTAATGAAAATTGTCATGACTTTTCCGACGGTTTAGAACTTGATACAAAACAAAAAAATAATTTTTACCTTTTGAAGTAACTCAATATTCGATGTTTTCTTTTCAAGTTGGAATATTCCAAGTGACATCGCAATCTAGTACACAATTTGCTTGTACATGGATTGGGTTTGTATTTACCAATCACAAGATCTTTTTGTATATAAAATTGTTTTTTAGCCTTGTATGAAACTGTTTTCATTTTTTTGTTGATTGTAAGAAGTTTTCGGAAATTTTATAAAAATATTCAATGAATCAAGATGTCAGGTCATACGCTTCATAGTTTTTACTACTTTCCTTTTTCTTGTTGCGATCTTTAAGAAACAAAAATATTAGTAAAACAAATTGATGTGTCTATCTGCCGAAAAACTGTCTTCGCTCATCAATTTTATGGCGTCTAAGAATAATAAAAAGCATTTCTAACTGATACTAGAAGTGACTAAACATAATGAATGAGATAATGCATCAGAAAAATGATGAAAATTGATCAATACTAACTACTAGATAAACAAATTTTTTCTTTGACTAAGCAAAAGCAACAAATTTCGATTTCATCATCTACTGACAGCATTCTCTTTCGTGAGAAAGTTTTCAATTTCAAATTATTGAAGGGTGTCGATGTTTATCTTATCTTCACTTAAACCCACACTCACACCTTAAGTACAGTGCTAACAGAAAGTGCTTATATAGATTCCGTTAACAATAGCAACTAAGTTTTCGACCTTGTTCCTGATATTCGGGCATGGTCTTGATCTTGTCAATACACTTCAACAATGTAAATCGTCATGGATTATTCTTCATGAATCGAAAATAAAACTTACATTACCATTTTGAAGATCTACGTCTTAATATTCAGACCGATTTGATCTATTGTCGGAGTGGTGATTTATGGAAAAAAATTAATGAAGCAATCGAAAATGTTCATGTTGTTATGTTTCTAATTACGAAAGAATATCAAAATAGTAAATCATGTCGTCAAGAAGTAATGTATGCGAGAAATACACTTAAAAAACGATTTATTTCTGTTTATCTGAAGAAAGATTAAGTTGTCAGTAATTGGCTTGGCATACGTATTGTTGATCCACAATATGCTCGTTTTGGAAAACGATCATTCGGCAATACGATAACGATAATTCTCAATTTGATCGTTGATGATGATTCACAACAACGAAAACAAGATGAACCAAAACGAATAAGAACATCAGTAACTCCATGATCGGATTTCCAGACAATCTTCTTGGCATGAAACTAGACAAAAATTCAGATCAACCGAACACATCGCTCAGTTTGACAAATTCAACAAAGAAAATCGAACAGTGGACATTCAAAGATATTGATCGAAGGTTCAATCAGAATAATATTGAATCAAAATTGACAAATGTCTATCGATTTCAATATTCAACTGATCTTTTCCTTTATGGTCTATGTTTACGATCTGATCGGCAACAAGAATATATCGATATGCAAAAATAATAGACACGGGAATATAATCAAGCATTATATTGTGATCAATTTGTTCTCTTCATGGACGTCCTATATCGATTTCAACAGGCACACTAGTAGTTAAAATTGAATTCAGCATTACTTCAAAACGAAAACATAGATGCCTTTTTTTATTGTTGATTTTCTTTTTTTTTTATGATAGTCCATATCTAGTAGAGACTTTGACAAAGAAATATCTCAACTGATCTTCAAAAAATGAAAAGACTATAACTGTTGAAAAAATATTCGATTCGACGTTATCTTATGTCCAGAAGTCATTCTTTGTTTGACATTATTACACATATAAATTAAAAATATAAAAATAAAAAGAACTTTAGAAGATAAACTCGTCCAATGTGGCCACGTGACCATATTCAATCGTAACCTTGCGATCGATTTCAGTAATAGGCTTATCTTCGTATTTTTTAATGCATTGCATAAGAAATGGAAGTGGAATGCATTTGAATTCACAACGTGTAATAACAATTTGATCATTGTCTACTGATTGTGATGGATCGAAATATTCTTTAACGAAATAATTGTATTGGGGTAATTTTACTAATCGAAAAGGTATCACTTTGAAAAAAGTACCATGATAATTATCCATTAGACGACGAAATACCAATGGATTATATTGCAAAACAGCTTCGTCATTGTGTAGAAGAACTACATCGGTAGTAGGTGTTTGCATTTCATGTAATATTTTTCGAACAAAATATTCTGCTAATTGATTGGTTTTGGGTGTAATACGTGCTTGTCCTAGAGTACGTTGTCGCCAAAGTTTAGAATTCAGTAATGTATGAATTGGTTTTTCACCACAAAACAAATTGACAAAATCCAACCAACTGGTTGAATTTTGGAAAATTTCTGGATGATAATGATTCAAAACAGTATAGTTTGCTTTGATAATATCAACGGAAATAAATAACTTATTATGATTCTCCTTTGTATAGAGTGTACAATGGGTCTTGTAAATACTCGATTTAATAAAGTCTATCTCTTGTTGAAATCGTGTATTGTGAAACTTTTGCAAAGATGGATGCGTGGTAATGTAATTCAAAATACTTTCTTGTATTTGATTGATACGACTTGTCAATTTTCCTACTGTTTCATGTGTTTCAATATCTTCCAAGAACTGAGAAAATGTGGCTCGGCAATCGAAATAAGGATCTAAAGAGTCGAGATAATAATCGATGTATTTGTGATTGACTATTGCTATAGGCAGTTTGTTATATGTGCAGAAAAGATCCACCATCGTATCATCGATTTGGACAGGCATCTTCTTCACTTCTTTCTTGCCAGTAATCTTTGTGAGTATTAGCACGACTTTTTTATTGTTACCATAATTGGAAGATTTTTTTTCGAACTCAATTCGATTACAATATTCAGTTTCGATGAAATTGTAGATTTGATTGCGTTCTTTGCCGTCCAAATCTTCAAGAGAGATCGATTTTGATAGATCTTCTCCATCAGCTAATTGTTTGATTTCATTGAGAACTATTGAGCATCGTTCTGTCATGGTAGATTCTTGATTCATATGATTTTAAGTATTTTTTCAACTATCTTCCTTTCTTTTTAAATATCTAAACATCCTACGCAATCTTTTAACATATTCGTTCTATCTGATGCAATATGAATCATCAGAAATGAAATGACAATACACGCTCTAGTATTTACATTTGCATCATTTCCTCAGACAATATTGCGTCAAACAAGACATTTTTTGTCATTCTTTCTATTTATCTTTTCATCATCATGACACCATTCTGTCCGATTTATGCTACCAAATGAGGGTAGATTCCCGTTTCGTCGAAAAATTAAATTGTAATGAAAAAAATTATAATCAAAGTGATAAGCTCAATTTCTTTGATTGACTTAAACTATTTTCTTAAAAAGAAACTAATTGATATCGCTATATTAGTAATAAGTAATTTTGCAAAAGTATATATATATGTAGAGTAAAAAGGGAAAATTCATTTTTTTTTGTTATATTCATTCATTATTACATAAAACGATGCTATCTATTGTTGAAAGTAAACGTAATAAACCAACTTTATTACTTGATACTTTTCGCTATACACAAAATAAAATTTTAAACACAACTGTTTTTATTTATTTTTTGATAAACTTATCTACGAGTAATTACGCACTATTCGTAATTAGTATGATGAAAAAATCTCATCAAATGATATAATCTATTCTTCATTGATTAATTAGAATTTCTTTTTTCGACAAAACGGGAATGGAAGAAAAATACATTTTCGACGAAACAGGAAAATCAATTAAGCTTTTGACGAAACGGGACCTAATCCAAATGAGGACTTTGAATGACTTAATGTAATTAGAAATCACTCTACATGTGAATCATCTTGAATGATTCTGTTTGAAATTGATAGTAAAAAAGACATTGGATGAAAAATTACCTTATCGATTGAATAGGAGAATAACAGGTTTTTAGACTCTTGGTTTAATATATCTTAAGCTCAGAATTCATCTTTCTTGCGAATGAATTCGACAATGGGTCGATTCTTATTCTCCACATCCTCAAGTTTCCTCCATTCTTTACATTTCTTTCAACTTCTTTTCAAACGTGTTTTGCAAAAAAAAAAAAGCAATGAAGAATTACCGATATTTCCTCGGCTGCGATTTTTACGTTCTAAACTTAGCTGTGAATACAACTAAAAGTGTTGTGTTTCTGTTCCAAGATGTGAGATGGCACTTTACCTTGACTTTACAAGTAACTACGTAACTAGGATAATTACTTCTCACAAGTAACTATTATTCATTTCAAAAAAAGATGATCTGTGGTTGTTTTTTGAATAACTTCTACATACTACTAGCTAGCAAGTTTGGATTTTTTTTCTTTAGAAAAAGAGCGATCATTTTTCAACATACACTATTACGTCTGTGGAAGTGGAATGAAACTTTGATACGGAAAGATGGACAAGGACTACTGATTGGAGATCTACAAATTAACACAAGGCTGAATAATCATTTTAATGAGAAGTTTCGATTCGTTTTCAGATAATTTCTCTATAGGTAGAAATTTTTAAAATATTTTGACGTATTGATTTCCAACCATTCTGAATCGAATGAAAATGTTTATTTTGATCTAAGAAATAGTTCACTTTATGATATCATTTATACTATCGTAATATCGTAGTTCTCTCACACTATTTTCACGCTTTGACATCACTATCGACTTATAAAATGTTGAATATTATTTCATAAAACGGGTGTGGGGGCGTACAGGGATGTGAGAATGAGGTATGGATGTCTAAAAAATCAAAAGATACATTCACATCCTATCTTTTGATGTCTATATAATTATTAAAATTCCAATGTTGAGAGAAATTCATTAATAATTCACAGTAGTCTTCTATAACGTCCAATGTATCGTTCTTCCAAACGAGAGTGAAAAAGAATTTTATTCGAAGAACTTGCTAATACTTTTCTTCATTAAAATAAACCGTCGTCTATTTCCTCTGATTAATCAATTATTATGTAAAAGAAAACCAAAGTAGTAATAGAAGAATTCCAATAGGTTTCATTTGTTAAAAAAGTCCATATTCAAACGAGTGTCAAAATTATTAAGTATATCAATAGAAGCAACTGGGTGTTGTTACTGTTACGAGAATAGAAACTAATAAGAAAAAAATTATTAAATAGTTTCCAAAAACAGTACAATGAGCCACACTATTTTAATTGTTCTTCAATAAAAAGAAGAAAAAAAAAGAAAAATTTTGTCATTGATATGACTAATCCATCAAGGTCAGAAGAACAAGAAATTGTATGAATTTAACATGCAATAATAAATATGCAAAGACAAGAAAGAATGGATTAACAAAATTTAAATCAAAAAAAAAAATTTCCAACAAATATAAAGAAATAAATCGAAATACGTATGAATATAATTGTAATTATACAATGACTAATGAGAAATGTTCGTTTTTTTTTTTCTTGAACCAACTCATTATCAATTACACAATAACATTTTTATTCATCGAATTGATCATACGATATTAAATAAAATTATATTAACAACATACACTTATCGTTCATATATGAGTTTTCAATTAGAAATTCATCTGAAATTTTTATAATCAATCGTACGAACGCTTTTATACATGTAGAATTTCATGTCAATTTATAATCCATACAAACTTATTGTAAAACAATGAGCTCATACAAGAAAAAGAAAAACGACCTATTATTCGCTATGAATACATTCTCATTATGTTTCGTGATTATATAAAATTTCTAAACCATATGTTCTTGACGATGATAATTGACATATCTTTTTATATCACATCCATAACTAGTCCAATTAACTTGTACATGTCCTTTTTTTTATCTCTATTGTGTTAGTTACTAATAGTAGTATCACCATCAGTGGTTCATCATCGTTATTTTGTCATCGGTATAGTTGATCTCGTCGAAAAGGATTAGTATTTCTCTCTTTCTCTCTTTCACTTGTCTATTTCAATGTATATCGTTTACTTCAAAATGTCGATGTAATAAGAAGAAGACAAAAACGTGTGCACAGATGTATGAGGAGGTGTGAGTGCATGCATATGATGTGGGCGAAGATGAGTAGCATCATCTCTGCGCCCTTTTTTCTTTCTTTATCTTTATCTTTTTTTTCTTTCTTTCTTTCATAGAAAGGATCATTCATTTGACATAATTTTGTATTGAACACGTATGTATATATATAGATACAGACATTGACACATACCAATTGAGATAGTGATATAAGTGATGGTCAGTTAGTCAAGAGAACAAAAACAAAATTGAATGAGATGAAAAAAAATATATGGCTCAATATTTATTATTAATATTTATTATTGCCTTATGCAATATAACCAAGAAAACATCCATAGTAGTCAATGCTAAGTGTAAGATAAGAAAGCTTTTTTTTGTATGATATTTTTATCATACATTTCTTTTTAGTTTTTGAATATGAATTACCTAATAGAACAGTAACAATATGTCCAACTCATTCATTAATTTCAATTGAATGTCCATACGGTTCATCATTAGATAATCAAGGATGGCAATCAAATGTTCCACAATATCTTATATCTATTGATTATATTCGTTCATTTCCATCACGTCTTGGTCATGATCCAACTTCTTGTCAACCTGATTTATCTCATGCTTGTAATAATTATGATTTACGTTATATAAATACATTATGTAATGGAAAATCTCAATGTTCTGATATTCCTGCTTATCAAATACGTGATCGAAGTTTATGTGCATTTAAAGCAGTTACAAATATTGGTTTTCATTGTGTACCAACATGGAATTTACGTGAAATACAAACAAAATGTGACATATGTAAAAATGGTTCATTAACAAATGATTATGGTTTTATTTATTCAAGAAATTATCCATTAGATACAATACGTGTATCATGTTTTACAACAATTTATGCACGACCATATCATAAAACAGTACTTTATTTTGTTAATGGACAATTAAATCATGATCAATTAAGAATTGAAAGTGTTTCATCTGAAGGTATTACACTTTTAAATATAACTTTAAATGGAAATCAAACAACACAAAGATTAGCAGCATCAACATATGAAATGAAAATAACATTTATACCAGGAATTATTTATTCATATCATTCAACTAATTATTTACTTTATTTTTATACTATTCCTGTTTGTTCATATATTGATCCATGTCCAACTGGTTTACCATTATCAACCACAGCTATTGTTATACCAGAAACAACAAGTCGAATGCGATTTCAATCAGTTGGATGGACAAAAGTGTCGAGTTAGTGACAATATTGATTTTTAAGTTAAAATCAATTTTCTTTATTTTCTAGATATTTGGATTGTTATACCAATTATCTTAGCTTACATCTTTCTTCTATTCATTATCATCGTTTTAGGTCTTTTGTTTCAGTAAGTAAAACTTATTAAAAAAGAAACATTTTATTTTGAAAGTAAGAACAATTTTTAATTATATTTTTCAGTCGACGACGTAAACAACAAAAAACATTACATAATATTACAAGTAAAAATTTATCATCTCGTTATTTAGAAACAAGTGGTACGTCTAGTCGTGCTCAACTTGTTACACCATTACCACCTCCAATTATTAATGATCCTGGAATTGATACTCGTTGTTGTGCAAGTACAACACAAACTATTCATTATCCTTTATCAACTTCTTCATTTGCAAAAAATATGGAAAGATATCATCGTGAAAGTCGTAGTGATTTTGATCTTCATCAAAGTTCAATGAATGGTGTTGACTATGGTTGTCATGCATCTATACCTTCTCGTAGTCGTGTTACAATGACAAATGGTATTCATCGTCCATATGGTACTATAGATTATTCTTCAATAAATAATAATGTTCATCGTCGTCGTTCATTACCAAAATCATTTTCTGATTGTAATTTATGTAAACAACAAGTCTATTCTGAAGAATATCAACATTATTATGATGAAGAAGGTGATAATTGGCATTTGGAAAATAGTAAAGAACAACAAATAGAACCAAGAAATTATCGAG